CGCTGTCGTAGTGCTCGCCGTGCCTGTAGGCGATGTGCAGCTCCCTGGCGCCGCTCCTGTCCGTGCCCCGGATCTCAACAAAAGAAACAAACTGCAAATGAGCATCTGCAATCGGCTCCAGCACCTGATTTCGCAGCGTATTGGTTTTTTTGCAGCGATGGGAAGGAGGTAAGTATGTGGCTGCTGAGCATTTGAAACAGGAAGAGAAGTAGTATGAAAGCCAGATGTAAAATATTGGGCAGTTACATCAGAACAAACAAAATGTGGAATGAAAATATTTTTGTGGAAAGCTCAGAACTATTTCCTGAACTTTCCACAGGAGCTATCTGTTTTCTGATCATCCTACCAGAACCAGCTTCAGCAAGATCTCCCAGGGAATGTACCATGTCATTTTACTCTCAAACACGAATGTACCATGTCATTTTACTCTCAAACACGAATGTACCATATCATTTTACTCTCAAACACGAGGGAAGAGAGGCCATTCAAGTGACAGCAACAGTGGAAACAGTAACCCAGAGTAAATTTTGATGTTGGGACAAGATACTGTTTAAACAGCATTCCAAGCAGCTGTGTTTTGTTTTTAAAAGCAAGCAAATCCATGAAAATGTATTAACTCCATTCAGGAGCACTGTTAACAACCAAATGTTGCTTTGCTTCGTCAGCACCAAGTTACAGCAATTTCCACAGAAAATTCCTGCTCTGAGTATTATCTGTACTGATGTGAGAATAGTTCCTACCCTGATTATCAGTGTCTCAAACTATTAGATAAGAGCTACACAGCATTCCAGCTGCTGCCAGGAATGCAGAAAGTCCCACTGCACTTGCAGACCAGCCTGGCCTGACCTGCCAGCCCAAGTTCACCCAAAGCTCTCCAGACGTCAGCAAGCAAAGGACCAGAACTCCTTGCTTAGGGTTCCAGCGTTTCCCAACCCTTTTACGTCGGTGAACTGCCTTATCTCAGCTCCCAGACCACACACCAAGGCACCTTTCAGCCCTGCCTGCAGTCTGTGCTGCACTAATGACATCAGGTTTTCCAACAAATAATTCTCCATTCACCTATTTTGTATTTTACACTTGCTCACCTTCAGGTTCCAACTCAACACTTGGTTACATTTAACTCCTGCTTTTTATTCTATTAAATTGTTCCACTGTAGAAACTTGGTAAGATTTATTTTAAACATTTCTCCTCTGCCAGAGCTTGAACAGGTATCTAACAAGTCCCAAAGCTCTTGAAAGATGTGAAAATGAGCCAATTTAGCTCTCATTAGGGAAGCCTCTTTCCACTCTGGAG